ATTTTGGTCTGCCAGGGATAGGGCTAAAAGGGATAGTTCAGAATAAAAACCAGAGAACTACGAACACACATTAAATTTATTGTCTCCGAAAGCTCAGGTCAAAAAATCAACAGATGTTGGCCTACTGGTGTGAAAGCGCTTGCAGACAACAATCCGAATATAGTATTTTTAGGAAATTAAAAGAATATAGAGGGTTTTATACACGAGAATATTTGATTTAAACGAAACAAAGAAATTCCTAAAATGATTGCAAATAAACAAACTTACATTAACATAACTTCAAATATTTGCTGTCTTTTTCACCAAACAAACTTTATTTAATTAAATTATAACATTATAACATTTAACCCTTTCGGTCATCGTGTCCACACCGATGGACATCGATTTTCAAAGCATTTTCTTAAAACATCGATGGTTATTATCGCCCAAATCATTTTGTCCATGTGTGGGTACATGCATAAGAAAAGCATTGAATACATTGATAGCCATCTGTTAGTCGATTTGTGAAGCTATATAAAACGCAAAACAGGTTGCATTTAGCACGCTGTCGTGGTGGTGAAAACACCTGTTTGTTATTGGAACGATTTCTATTGAATAAACTTGTTTTTTCGTACAAATACCTGCTGATTTGGGTAAGTAAAGAGCATTAGTATAGTGTGATTATATTATGTATCAAACTGTTGACTGAAAATATCTTATAAAGTGGTGTATATTTATATGTCCATGTAGATGGACAAAATGACTTAGGTATACTTATGCATATAAAAATTAGCAAGGTCGTGTTGTTTTAGATATCCATAAAATGGAAAGTTTACCGTCAACTAGTAAAGAAAAGAGATGGTCACGACCCTTGACTGAGGATGAACTTCTGGATTTACTCATGAAAGACGATGACTCAGAAATATTACGTTTGTCAGATGCTGATGACGCCAACAGTATTGCGGATCTAAATGACGTTTCCTCAGAATTTGGCGATGATATCCAAGATATTGAGGAAACTATTTTTGACGGATTGATTCAAGAACAGAAATCAACAGAAAGAGGTGAGTTAGAAAATCTAGAATATCCCAATGAAGGGACTACAGAACAACCAATGTCTGAGGACATGAAAACCAAAGAAAATTCCAACCAAACCGCTGAAAAACAATCAACTGCAAAGGAGAGACTGCTAGAGTTTTGTAAAGAGTTCAAACTCACAAATAAGAAAGATGTTTGTTGGAGAAAAAATATTACCTATCTTACCAGGCCCGTACTGTGGTTTGTTCCAGAAGAAGTACAAGTTGATGAATTACCTGCTCCTATTGAATATTTTATGAAATACATACCTGATGATCTGTTTGAGAAGATTTCAGAAATGACTAACGTATATGCCGTACAAAAAAATATTACTCGGTTTTCTCAATCAGATAAAGAAGAAATAAAGCGATTTGTAGGCATTCACATTATTATGGGAAATCTAAAATTCCCAAAAGCAAGACTGTATTGGTCCCAGCTTACAGGTATTTCAATTGTAAAAGATAATATGACATTCAATCGCTTTTCTAAGTTGCGCAATACCATTCACTTAGTAGATGTAACAGCAAGAGGTGACGAAACAGATCGTATGTGGAAAGTCCGAGAAATATATAATTCCATTAGAAATCGTTGTAGAGAACTTCAAACCGAAACAAATTTGTGCATTGACGAGCAAATTGTTCCATTCAAGAGACAGATCAATGTCAAGCAGTACCTCCCAAATAAACCTAAAAAATATGAGATCAAATTATGGATATTGGCTGGACAATCTGGTACCATTTACGATTTCATCATATATCAAGGTGCTGAAACGGAAATAAAAGAAAATTATGCACAGTTTGGACAAGGAGCTTGCAGCTAGTTGAGAGAATTGAAGAAACTCATCACGGTTTGTACTTTGATAATTTCTTTAGTTCTTATCACCTCTTTCAATGGTTGAACAATAAATCTATTATGGCTGTCGGAACAATTAGAATAAACCGATTTTTTAGACCAGAACTAACATCTGATAAAGATCTAAAAAAAATGGTAGAGGTAGTTTTGATGTAGCGGTTAGTAAAGATGGAATTGTGATTACAAAATGGTTCGACAATAAACCAGTTTTAGTGGCTTCAAATTTTGTTGCAGCGGGAAAAATGGATTTGTGCCAGAGATGGGATAAGACGTCGAAAGAGTATATAAATATATCTAGACCGGAAGCCATATCGCTTTACAATTCCAACATGGGTGGTGTTGATAAGTTAGATTTTTTATTGAGCGTTTACAGATCCTACAGACGATCCAGAAAATGGACTGTACGTATGATAACACATGCTATAGATATGGCGATAGTAAATTCCTGGTTGGAATATAGAAAACAAGCTGAACTGCTAGGCGTACAAAACAATAAAATCCTGGATTTGTGGGACTTTAGAACGAGTATTGGGCAACATCTCATTTTACATAAGGTTCCACCAAAGAGAGGCAGACCATCTGGTCAAGAAAATACTGGTACACCAAATAATAAAAAAACCAAAACTGAAGCAAGGCCATATATTGAATTACGGTTCGACAGCTATGGACATTTTCCGAAAATAGATGAAAAAAAAGATAGTACATGTTGCAAAATGGAGAACTGTAAGGGAAAATCACATACATTTTGCGTGAAATGTAATGTTCACTTATGTAACATGATTAATTCGTTATTTACAAAGAATATTGTTTATTTCGTCATTCTAATGATATTCAAATAAATTTCTAAAATCTTCAGGTTTATTTTATTTTGCTTCAAGTCATAATGTCCATCAACATGGACATGTCATATGCCAAGTGACATATGACATATCAAAAAAAATGATGTTAAAATTATCAACAAAAACAGTTTATTTTATATACCAAATATGAGAATTTTCCCATAGCTCAAAAAAAGTTGTGACTGAAAGGGTTAATTATAAACATTAAATTATGAAAAAACTAAATGCTCATCTACTTTTTGCTATATACAAAAGTTGTCTGTCAATGTTTAATTCGTTAAATATAAATAACAAAGATCAAATATATGGATCGGAGTACACAACATATTTCGGGAATAAATATTTAAATGGGAATTACAAATAAAAAATATTAAAACTTTATTTGTTGTATATCTCAATATTTAGTGACAATTTTGTGACTTAATCAGGAGAAAATTGTAAATTTATTAAGATGAGATATTGACAAAAGTTAAATACTTCATTATTTACAATACACTTAGAATATACTAATACTCTTATAGTTGTAAGTAATGAAGTATTATTTATAAATACAAAAAGTTCTTTGTTTAAAATTTGTTCTATTAAAAATTTGTAGTGCCAAAAGGTGGATAGAAGCTTGTAGACGAGAAGATTTATTGTTAAAAATGGATATACTTACTTTAAAGCTTTAAAGTTTCATATCCATTGGATTATAAAAATGAAGTTCTCAATCCCAGTATCTGTCCTGAAGGTTCAATGGTTCGTCGTTTTGACTTCAAGTATAAGAATTGTACTAACCGCAGTTAACAACAAAACCAGAAATAATTGTTACAAATCCGGCTTAGGCAAACTAGATACTACAAATAATTTTAAAGGCAATACCAATCAACTAAAAATCGTATGTATTAACTCTGAATCTATTGTAAACAAAATAAATTGTATCGAAATATTAGTTTAAACTGAAAGTCTGGATTTACTATGTATATCCGAATCATGTGTAATGACAATAATATAAATTCGTTTTATCTTCCTAATGCTCTCTTGTAATGATTTGTAATACTTTTTTGATTATTTTTTAGGTTATTACATTTTTATATTTATAGAAATAGAAATATACTCGTACAATAGTTACTTCTTGATTTTTTATTCGTTTTAGTCGAATATCGTTTACTCCAATATTCGACTTTAAAGGAAAAGTGTAATTTTAATAGGTTTCCAAGACATTAACAATCGATATCAATATAAAGTTTCTTGTTTCTCAGTCTCACCCAAAGAGAATTGGAATTTTTAGAGTTTGTGAAATTTCCGTGGCAGTTACAATGGCTTTGTTATTTTTCGATTATATTACGAAAGATAATTTATTAGGAAATTCCACGACAAACAAATTATATCTTGTATCAACACAAGCCAAAAAGAATCGGTGTATTATTGTATTATCAATGCCAACATCAGAATAAACAAAAAAGTATTTTCATCTATGGTTTCATCAATATGATTTTCGCCATTACTTTGCGTTGTGCGATGTATTTGCAACCTTTTGTAAATCAAAAATAATTACACCATTTAGAATGTCAACAAAAGCCGGCCCTGTATGTAATTATTTTTTCAGTGCAATATTTCATATTTATTGAAAGTCAACATAAATGCTCAATTTTATTGAAGAATTTATATTGTGTAATATGCCCACTGACTATTAGTAAATAAGGTGCTTTCCTGTCATTTTCACTCGTTGGCGGCTTGCCCACGTAAGATCAAAGGAGTGTCGCTTCTCTGCGTTCGTAGTTCTCTGGCCAAAGCTCGAATTGAGCCATAGGATGGGATGGTAATGGATAATAAAAATCGCAATAGTAATCACAAATATTTATTAAGGTAACTAAATCTGCTTTAAAATGTTCAGATCAATTCAAGTAAAAATAAAAACTTACAAATATTAAGTAATCACATTTGTTGGCATACTAAGCAACTTTACAAACAATATTTACTTAAACCTGACTTTTTATATCTTAAGAAATAGTAACATTTTGAAACAAATATAATAACAGCAAATTATTTAAAAGTTATAATTAAATTTTTGGAATAAGAACGTCAATTTGCGTTGTCTACAAATATTAAAAAAAACACGAATCAACATATTTTGAATGAATATTGTATGTATACTTATAAGAAACGCCTAAAAACTAATTAATCTGGTAACGATTTATTTCCCAATATGAAAACCAATCGTTAATAAGGTAAACAACAATAAATTTCCTTAGGAAAATGAGTAAATGGCAGAGAAAAAGAAAATTTAATAAAATTTGAAAATATAGATGTATCTCATTCTTCATTTTAAATATGACAATTACTAATTATGTAAAATGGTTGAGTTTACCGAAAGTACAAGCTGATTATAGCCGCAAATGTCAAACATGGAACAAAAATTTCGATTTAGCAGTGTTGGTATGTTTTTATAATGTATATGCTGTATGCTTCAAATACAAAAGAGATAGAGCTTTAGAAAAGTACATTTTTATTATATGTTATGAATTCTGCAATTTTTGATCTAAAACAAGAATAAGTAAATATTTGTATCTTTGGAGATTAATTGCAGTTAAGTATTAGTAATACTTTTGGCAATTGCCCTTTGATAGATTAGGAGATAGATTTGGCAATCGTCAAATCAGCAGTTGCCAGATTGCAACAGATGTTTGCAATTATTAATCTCGAAAGAGACAAATATTTACTCGTTATTGTTTTATATAAATTAAAAGTTGCAGAATTCATGAAATACTATAATCAAAATGTACTTTTTAAAAGCTTTCTCTCTTTATATTTGAAACATACAAAATATGCATTCTAATAACATCCCAAAACTGCCAAACCGAAATATTTTATTTCATGGTTAACATTTGGGGCTATATTCAGCTTGTATTTTTGGTAAACTCAACTTGTAAAATATATATAATTTTACAACCATCTGCTCTACTGGTGTTCATTTAGTTGAATCTTGTTAAATGAAGAAAAAAGAAGACATTTAGTTAATTAGTTATAGCCAATCTATGGCAACAAGTTTAAGAGACTAAACAGAAAGAGACGTTATGGCCCGCCGAATATCGGAAATTTGTTTTGAATGTATTGAAGTTTGAAAAGCATTCCACAATTTATTTCTGTCTTCGAATCGCCTAGCTACCGCCATTCCTTCCGAGATGAGCTTGTTATCGAGACCAGCAAGTCTAGCTGCGTTAAATCCATATGATTTAGGACACCTGCCTTTTGCCATTTTATACAAAAATGTCACGTGTTCAACAGAAATCTCTTCTTCGTTATCTTCATTCTCAATCATACAGGCCTGAAATGATTAAAAGTCATTATTAATAATTTTTTTACATTTCATTGTCAAAATTGTTAAGCTAAAAATATACTTATGATATGCCAACTATAAGTATATCAACAATAGTGGTAATTGGGCAAGAAAAAAGTTCAGAAGCCAGTCAGTGTAAGTCAACAAATAATCCGTAGCGGTGATGATCTTCATTCGAGTCAAATTTTGGCCCGGCGAGTAACTTTTTCAAGTTTGAAAACAAACAAAAGTCGCACGGGTCCAAATCCGAAGAATCTGGTGGATGGGATAGCAGGAGCCGTAATCCAATTTGCCCGTAATGACGGCGGAGGTGTGGGCCGGTGTGTTGTCGTGGTAAAAGAGCTCTTTTTTTCTTCGCCAAATGGGGCCGTTTTTTGCAATTCGGCGTCGAATCGGTTTAATAATTCGGCATAGTGGAGCCCTATGACCGTTTTGACCACTCCAGGTAGTCGATGTAGATTAATTACACCTTGGAGCAGGTTCACAGGGTGAAGTCCACTTTTTCGATTGTTCCTAGGTCTCTGGTGGATTCATGTTTCGCCGACGGTCACGACACGACGCAGAAACGCCTTCGGATTGCACTTTAACAGAGTCAAACACTACTCTAAAGTGGTCTCACGGTTGCGCTTGTTGCCCGAAGTGAGCAAAACGCCGCGGCGCCCATCGCGCCGACAGCTATCTCATGCCCAAAATTTTTGACGATCTCCATGGAAGGAGAATAGTCACCGTACACAGCATCCAAGTGCTCTTTGATTTCACTGCGTGATTTCCCTTCCAAAAACAAGAATCTAATCATCATCCAATATTGTTTTTCCATATTTGTGTAAATTATTGAAATAAACAGAAATGTTTTAGGTGCAAACAGTACCAAGGAGTATTACATTCTTCTCTGACGGCATCTCCATAAGGAGGTTAATGATCTAATTGGCTACCTATATAAGTGAGACTGTAGCTCTGACAATGTGTACTAACGTCCTTCCAATGAATTTACGAAGATATTTTAGCCAGACCAGCTGAACTTTTTCATTTGAGTGTTTATGACCAAGTCATTATATATTAAAGATCATGACCAAGCCACATAAAACCCATCTCATTGACTGTGAGAAGTTTTCTAATTTGTAATGCTTAACTGTAACGTTAAAACTGAGAATCGAATTAAATCGAATGGTTTTCTTCAACGATAGCTGGGTGTATTAAAATTCCCAGCAATACTTTTTAGTTCCCGCGCCAAAAATAAAACACCCTATTGGCAGAACACACTTTTTTGGGTAGTACTCGTCAATCGCAACAAGTTATATCAATATGATAACGTGCCCAACGACCTGAATGACGACAAAGTCACAAGCTTCTTCGCGGCAATTTCCTAAAATGTTTCACTCGTTTCTGGAATGTGAAAACAACAAACACTCTTTTGACAAAGAAAAAGTTGTAGGTAATTCTCGTTTATTCCTGTGATGAAATCTTTATTTTTTTTTTGTTACGTAAATAATACAATAATTTTTTTTTCTGTGAGACAGTATACTGTTTTGTATTATTAATTAGGTTTCCCAATAGACCCTTTAAAAGTTCGAGGTCTAAAGATATTGATAAAATTCGATGTTCGCATGTCTCTTTCGTACTGAGCAACAGGAGATACGGTATTTATCTGTGTGCAATTAAATGGTGATCTTGTCTGCCCCCTTTAGCATCTTTAGTCCCATGTGCACCAGTCTGGTGAACAGCATGTTTTTACTACCGACCGTACGTTCCAATTTGACCCACGGTAGATTATCATGTTAGCGCGACTGGCCATGTTTGGTCTAAGACGAAACAAGCGCGTCCATGATTTGGGGATTAACGTGTTAGTGTCCCTTAAGTGCTATAAGATTAAGGCGCTTGTTTTTGCATTGATACCTGTCTTTGCGTCACTACATTACTTCTAATATTGGTATTTTGGAAATAATTAAGTAATTTGTTCCATTGTCAATTTTTAATATTTCCTTCTACAATTTATCAGTTTCAGGTATTAGTAATTAGTAATTTTTGTCTATATAATACCAAAAATAAATTATCAACTATTATTGTTTATACTGTTATTTGGCGAATTTTATATAATTACGGTATAAATACTGTAAGTATATATAAAAGGAGCTGAATTTCGAACTGGTCATGCGCACAGTAAGTTTAACAATTTGTCAATTAATTTGTAAACTGTTATTTACAAACAACCATACACTACTACAACAACAAACTTGTTAGTCTCTCTCTTTATCGCTAGATCTTTCTCTCTCTCTCTCTCTCTCTCTATCTCTCGCGCACTCTCATTGCTTTTACTTGAAATATATTTTCAATCTTACTTACTATTTTTCAATTGTATTTCAATTCTCTGCTTTACTTTAAATTCATTTTTTCAATTAACATAAAGTGATAAACTAAATTATTCGGCAGACAATACAAGACTATCTGTACGATTTGACTACTACTGAATTTCAAACATGACAATGACAGTATTTTTGAAAATATTTATATTTTAGAAAATATGAATTTATTTCATACTTTAAAGACACAGTGTATATACCAAAGTAATGATGGTGTAACTGACTAATATATAACTGGAACTAATACTTACCATATGTCCTAACTGTACTTCAGGACTATCCGTGAAATGGTCGACTAGTGAATGATAGTGAGTAGAAAACGTCGTTCGGCATTTAAACTCTGTCAACTTCTTAACATAACTGGTTGCTATAGCATTTCCATCGTGTGTTGAAGTTCCTCGACCTAACTCATCGATGATAACCAGTGAATGTTTTGTAGCATACTGAAGTATACAGGATGCTTCTGAAAGTTCTACATAAAATGTAGACTGAGCTTTAGTAAGATCATCTTGGGCACCAAGACGGGTGAAGATACGATCTAGAAGAGTAAGCTCACACTTTGATGCAGGAACGTAGCTTCCCTAAAAATAATATAAACATTAGATAACACGATAACAACATATTTTGAAAAAAATCTATATCTTGGGAAAATGAATCAATTCAATTACCTTCAAGAGGTATTGACAAATGATTAATAAAAGATACAGATTATAGCAAATACTGTTTATAAACAGTATACTGAACATCAATAATGCTAATAATTAACAAAATGATTAAGAGTGAATATTATTTAAGACCAGAAGTCAATCATACTAATTTTATATGAAATGAAAAGACAAATTAAAATAGCTAAAATTTACACAAAACTATCAACAGCAATATGATCAAAAACCTTTATACATTTAGTGATTCCTATTGGGACCGTGCAAGTTCGGAAGAGCGACACCTGGTGTCGTAAATCAGCAAAATTTACTGCGCTTTCATGTAAGATCGAGGTTACGGGATGACTGTCAAGGACGTAGCCCCAAAAAAGAATAAGAAGTAAAACTAAGATTGAGGTTATGTCGGTATGTTATTAAAAGGTAAACGTTGTATGTAGTGTAAATACAAATAAATATATTATTAAATTACAGCATTACTGTTAATATGGATGCAATAATAAAAACTGGATTTGAGAAAGTAAATCACCAAATAATTTTTCAACCAAGCACTGAGTCAAAGGACAAAGCTTTAGTAGTAGTATTAGTAGCAATTTTTTGTTGTATTTTTACAATTTATAACACAGCATTTACTAAATCCCATTTTCTTCAGTAACAGAAGGTACAAATAAACAAACAAATATGACAATTGACAATATGAATTTATGAAATCTATGAAATGTGCAGTAAAAAATGCAAGATTTCTTCGCCACTGGCGCACGATCGTTTCTCGTATTACATCCAAGTACTTGCACGTCGCCAATACTACTGATTCGGACTGATCGTGGACAGAACATGTCACAAACAAAGAGGTTCTTCTCAGATGAATAAAGAAATGGAAATTTTAAATACAATTAAAACAAGAAAATTAGAATATTTCGGACATATTGCACGTGGAGAGAAATACACCTTGCTCCAACTGATTATGCAGAGAAAGATCCAAGGAAAGAGAAGCATAGGGAGGCGTAGAATATCATGGCTGCGCAACCTGAGAGAGTGGTACGGATGTATATCAAATGAACTTTTCAGAGCAGCCGTCTCAAAACTCCAAATAGCTATGATGATTGCCAATCTCCGCCGCGGAGATGGCACTTGAAGAGATACTACTGATAAATAGAAAGACTCGAACAAGTCGGTATACACAAAAATTGAAGCATTGCGAATCACCAGGATACATTTAATATAAGTTAAAATAATCTTACCATCTGGGCCATAACGCAGATTACAGCTATCTGTCGCATAAGCGTTGATTTACCACCCATATTTGGTCCAGTTATGACAATCAGGGAAGGAAATCCGTCGACACCCATCATAGTATCGTTTGGAACAAAACTGTCCAGGTTTTGAGCACACGGATGACGTCCATCTTGAATTATTAGTTTCGGCTACAAATACACATATTTGTAAAATCGGTACTAAAGAACAATATAAAATCATTTACCTCGTCACTAAATGGTAGTACATTCGGTAAGCATATGTCGTATGAATAGTTTTTTGCGTATTCGGCTAAAGAGCAAATTACATCGAGAACTGTCAAACATTGGATCACCCTATCAAACTGATCTTGTCTAAAAATATATAGTTCAGAATTATTATATTTACGAAATAAATTTTTTATTTAATTTCTAATAAATTTTTTAAATTTAGCATAGAACATAGCCATAATAATGAAAAAGTTTCGATAAAAAATTATAAAAAACATTCACATAACAGACTGTCACAGTAAACAAATGATCGTATGTTGTAGTATAGGTCGTATGGCTGTGCCTCTGCACCATGTCATACGAACCATGTACAACGATTAGCGTTGTAGATTCCAGAGGCGGTAAAAGTGATGTAAATCCTCTTATTGGTAATTGATTGGTATGCATTATGGCTAGAGACAACTTTGGTTCAACATTAAGGGAACTGACTTTATTCTACAATCTTAACTACATCAGTTTTTCTTTTTGTAACGTTGAGGTAACTATTAGTATTATACTGTTTTGCCAGTTGCTTCTATTTATTGCCAACCGTTGCCAATTTACTATTTCCTAGCTCTATGTACCCACTTCTATTTCCCACAGATAAGATGATAAGAGGTTTGAGAGGTAGTTTTCATTTGCTCCTGACAGGTGCCATGTTCATCTTGGTTTACGTATTTTAATGAGGGATATTGGGAATAAGGAATTCCTTTTCAAACATCTTATAGCTCAAAAATTAGCGATCTTTAATCCCTTACTGTTAAGTAATATTTTTTTTCTACTCTCTTACTAGTAAATTACCTGCTATTTGAATGCTAAGTAAATACATCAAAACAGATACTGCCACGTAATAAAAAAGATTACGCTTCAGTTCTATAAAAATGTGTAATATCACATAAGCTTTGTAAGTCAGTTGGTCGAGTTACCATGGAAACGAATTAACAGACGTTATTTTGACAGATTAAAAATTATTAATCTGTCAGTGTACATATAGTGGTAATTTAAATACAGATAAGTAAAATAAGTTCATCGAATAGTGAAGATGAATTTAGTAGCACACCACCCAATATTATGCAGTTAGCTGCGAACACTACCGAGAACCTATTGCCAGAAAAATCTAGAGGAAGATATGAAAAGGTATAATATCAGCAATTTATGGATTGGCGTACAACAAATTATGTAAATTCATTTTCTGAAAACGTACTCTTGGCCTAATTTAAAATTTAAAGAGAAAAGATAAAAATCTTACTTGCTACTAAATTTCTCGAAAATTTTTCTACTTATATCGAGAATGACTTTGGCCCTAATTCCTTCTGCTTCGATCATTTCGGCTAACAACTCCTAAAAATTAAATTACATTAGAATTAAATGTAGAAAAATATTAAATAGATCTTTTTACAGGTTTTAACCATAACAAGTAAAAATTTGAGTATTACTTAGTTTCATTATACTTATAACTAGTGTCGTTAGGTCTCTTTCTCTCTCTCTCTCTCTTTCTCTCTCTCTCTTTTTCTCTCTCTCTCTCTCTCTTTCGTGTTGTCTGTATCTCTCTCTATATATATATGTATATATGTATATATATATATATATATATATATATATATATATATATATATATATATATATATGTTTGTCACCCACATAAATTATGAACACCGTAAAGAACAGAAAATTGGCTTACTTTGGCCACATTATGCATAATAATAAATACAAACTTCTACAGTTGATTCTACAAGGCAAGATTGAGAGCAAGAGAGGCCCTGGACGTAGACGTATATCCTGGCTGGTAAATCTTAGAAATCATACTGGTCTAACCTCAACTGATCTATTTGGAGCTGCTGTGAATAGAATAAGATGGGTTAATGTGGTCGTCAACATCACTAGAAGATAAGCACTTTTGGAAGAAGACCTCCTAATGTGTAGGCCTCTCCCGGATGCTTCCATCTTTCTCAGTTCTGCGCCAATCTTATCCACTATTTGTCCGCCACTGCTCTTATAATGCCATCTACCCATCCCATTTGAGATCTCTCTGTTTTTCTTTTCGTCTCTCTTGATCTCCACTCCAGGGTTGTCCGTCGCCACCTGTTATCATCATGTCTGGGTATGTGGCCGGCCAATCGCCATTTCATTTTTACCACCTCTTCCACTGTCACTGACGTTTGTTCCCTCAGTTTTATTTCGCTATTTTTAATGTCTCTCAGTGGATCTCCAAGCATATCAATTACTCTTTGTATTGTTTTTAATTTTTTAATCTATTTCATGGTAAGGGACATGTTAGCGGCTCATGTTAATTATATTCTGTTTATTTTAGCATCTTGTTTTGGTTTTCCTATCTTGATAACATGATCTAAATATACATAAGGCTCAACGTCTCACTACCCAGGACGACTTTTTTCAATTACGAAAGTTTGCAGCTAAGTTTATTTTTTGTTCTCTTTCCGACAATAAATATCAAAATATTCCCAAGCTGAGCAAATACCGTGTAATATTCTACAAAATTGGCCAAAATAAAAAAAAATAGCGTAATAACAAAGTTTACAAATGTATTATTTATTTAATAAATATGCTTAACTCTCAAATAACTATAAAAAAAAATCAATTTTCAACGAGTACTCAAATAAAAAAAGATATAATTAAAAATATTTACCCGTGTAGTATCAGTTGTAAATTTCTTTGAAGCTCCCTTTTTGCTACCTTCTAGTCGATATTTTTCTGTGGCTTTGTGACTCTTGTTGTCAGGAACCTCTAACTGAAATCTTTTTCTATCCGTTCCTACATATTTTACAGAACAACCAAAGAATTTGGATTGTTCCTTCAGATAATCGTTTAGCTTCTTATTAATGGAATCAATAGTATCCTCGACTTCATCGAATTCCTCGACTACACCTTTTCTGGGAATGATTTTTCCTTCTTTTTCAGCTTCTTGTTGATCGAAAGCATTCTAAAAGATAAAAAACTGGTAGTCAAATGATTATAAACGAAAAGATCATTTTTTATATAAAAATATAGGAAAACAGTTTAGACTGATTTGAATATTTGTGGATCTCCATCAGCCACCCTTCCAGGGAGCTTGTCTTCGATGGGAAAGCTCTAACCTATCGAGAAAGGAACGTCTGAACTCCCAAGGTGAAGAACGCCGCTGGAGTCATATTTATGGACCAAAAGTCCTGCAGGTGAAAATTCTACATTAGATTTATTTGACTACGGTGAGACCAATAAGAGCGTACGTATTTGCCAACGACTAATTACTATTTCAGAAGCCATGAGGAACGCCCCCGTAGCAGCCCCTGAGGTTCTGCTAGGTCTACCGATTATATATCCTATTGTAGAACACAAAGCCACGATGACTGACAATTGGCTCAACTGCTCTGACAGTGGTTTACTAGGCATTGTTACATTGGGAAACAGGGCTGTCCTGTGTGTTCCATGGTGCAAGACAGCATGGTGCCTTACTTGAGTTTACACCCTCTTCATCGTGATGAATGGGTAGAACTAGAACCAGCACTGGTCCGTGGGAGTGAGCCAGTAAGCTCGTCTGGTTTACATATAAGTCCAAAAACATGGGCGTGGGATCGGAATAACTCGAGTAATGTACTCAGTTTCTCTATATCAGTGATTCAGGCTAAGATCTTCGCAATCTGAAATCTGTGCTCAGGATATACCTTTAACATGCGTACGGGGATACACAACAGAACGAAAGGGCAGACGTGCTTGTAAGACGGGCTTCGTCCATTCTGCTTCTGGAACCCGAACCTTTAGTATTGGTCGAAATAGTCTTATGGCGCTTTTCTAGAGGAGGTTTCAAGACTCTAGTGGATGTATGAGACGGGCTAGGCTTCATGTAGCGGGGCCTTCCAAGAATCTCACAACTAAGCTCCTATTTAACCATGGATGTTTGGTAATCACTACACTCCAGTCATGTCCTTTATTAATGCACAGCAGTGTATAAAAGCGAATAAAGCTCAGGAGGCTCGAAATTTCTGGATCTCCAGATGTTTCGAAGACTGGGTCATCACAATTCCCAATCCAGATTATGCGCAGTGATACAATGAACCCACCCTAAGAGTTCTAAGTATCTGAAGGGCCCAGAAATGGGCCATATCCAAATTAACCATTACTATTACCATGAGCCTCTCGTTGGTCAGGTGTCATTCTTCGTTATGGTAATTGTGGTGTGATTTAAACTGAAGCAGATTCAGCCTTTTTAAAATTTGTAAATAAACTAGCAGTTGGTAGTAACATTAGCACTACAATTGGATAGTCGCACTGAGTACAGGTCTTAAATTAAGTTTCATCAAAAACCTGAATTTTCCATCTTCTTGAGATCGCTCATGATCATTTTCCGGTCGATTTTATTAATTTGGTCCTTCAGATCAGATATAAACCAATGTTTTTACTTTCTTTCTCCAGGCGTTTTTTTTTAGTTAGTGGTATGTTCTAATACTATTATCTAGTGTATTAGTTCAACTTACCTCAAAATATCTTAAAGTTTCAGATAAATCCTCAAATCCTCCAGTTGGTTTTACCTGTGTTAATTTTCTCAGAAGTCGGTCTTCACAACCTAAAAATATATATTTAGTTTATCTGATCATATAATCTAGTGGTGGTGGACGTGGTGATCGTGACCGTGATTTTTTGTAACAGTTATTTTAAACCGTGACCGTGAACCATTTAAATAACTGTAAAAATGAACTCTAGAATTTTCACTTGAATTTTTTTGTAAACTTTTAAGAATTGTTTATGAAAAAAAAAACATATATTCCATATGTTTAATGACGTTATTTTAAATTTATCATTTTAAACAGAGAAATATCAGTAAATAATAACATAAAATACCTATGGAAATTCGTTTAGTAAAAAACAGCCTACTTGCTCTTCAACTCAGAACCTTGTAATTCTCAGCTAGGCAACCAGTACTACTTACTTTACCGTACCTAAAATTCTCCGTTGTTTTGTTAAATCACCAGATGTTATTCACCGTTCCCGGGTCACGTTCACCGAGATACACGTTTTGTGAGACTGACCGTGAAATTGATATCTGATATAAATATCGGGTCACTGGTCACGGTTATCAAAGTTAATAAGGAACAGTAGTTACCGGTGACTTTTAAATCACCGGTAATGAAATCACATCCCGTTATAGCTCTTGATGGCTTTTCATAAAAAAAAACACTAAAACGATTTATCCAGCTGTTGATAGCTTTTGATAAAAAAAGACAATATAACGATGATAAGTGTCTCAATAAAACCATAATTAAAAATTTAATAGAATAATATTGTTAAAGAGTAATGCATAGATAAATTAAAATTCATTCATAATACTTAAAGCTGCATATTAAGCTACAATGAATGTATGTAAAAAAATATGAAGTATTATCCATTTTTAAATTACCTTTAAACAAATGAGTAATTTCACAGGCTTTTTCAAATCCCTTTAAAGTTTTCAAAAAATCTCTAATTTTGTTTTTTGAATAAGTCTTGTTATCGTATAATATTGCTTTTCCGTCTGGATGCTGAGTTGTAAGTGATTTACTACCATACGTGTGTATTCTAAAAGAAAACGTTACATTCAAATTCAAATATCACACTAACATATCTATGGTATTACGGGCACATTTTAATACTATATTAATATAATAAGAACACTATCGTACTTCATTAACAGACGTTCTAGATCAGGTGTCTCTTTAAGAATATTTTGGACGTCCTGTAACAAACTGGTATCATTAACTAAATGCTTGATTGCATTCTGTCTCTCTTTAATTTTTACTGGGTCACATAATGGTCTGCAAATCCACCTCGCCAATAACCTAAAACCGAAAACCAAAATAAATAAGTAAATATTACACATTGTCATAGTTTCAAAAGTTATGCATCATCCAAAATTTTCGCTATTATTAACTATTTTCAGAAAATACTATTATAGATCACTTATAAAAAAAATATCATACCATTGTCAGATATTTTTTTGTTTTAAAAGAGATGCTTTTTTTTAATAAATAAAAAAAATCCTAACACTGCTGTAATATTGCTAACAAATCGATCAATTATTTCCTGTGGCAGATTCTTACATTCTTCCCTACAGGTAATTGTAAGTTCATGATGGGTTCTAGGAGAACTTCTTCGGGTATGAATAGCTCTGGAGAGCCCTTTCCATGCATGTTCAATGGGATTTATGGCTGGAGACATCGCAAGCCACTTCAAACGGCAAGTACCTTCTGCCTCAAGATAGTCATTAACCGCTCGAGTCCTATGTGGGCAGGCGTTATTATACATAAATACAAAATTTTCACCCACAGCTCCTCGCCATAATTTCACATAAGGTTCTAAAATCTGTGTGATGTATATTTGCCCAGAGTTTCGCATTTGCTATTTTTACAGCTTTTGTTGGCTCTCGCCAAATACGAATTCGCTGCCTATCACTAGTTAAACAGATTCTGGTCTAGTCTGAAAAAAGCATACAATTCCAAAACTGTTGAAGGAACTGTAGGTGTTCTTGAGCCCATTGGAGGGGGCGCAAAACATATCTACATTGTAGCTAACTCTTATTGGTCTACGACTCTTCAAACTCCTGTAGCTTGCCTGAAGTCTCTTTAGGGGGCTGGTTTACTGGACTTTACTGTTGATGTTCATCAGAAATTTATGTGGTAAAAACGTTGGCTATATCGAAACAGAGTAACATAATGTTAGGATGGTAATCTATGTCTGCTAGTTTTATAAATTGTTTTGAGTTTCTTGTGGGATATAGGCTGTATTATATCCTGTTTGCTGCAATGACAACCCATGCTGCTGCAAATTTGTCCGATGGATAAAATTTTATAGTAACTTAAGTTTTAAGTAATGTGACAATATTGACTTACCTTTTTCCAAATGATGTTTTACAATGGTCCAAAACGCTTTTCAATGTATTTGAAAAACCAAGCAACTCCAAATTATGGATAGTGGCTGAGTCAAGTACTAAATGATCTTGATTGCGCTTATCTTTTAGGGTAAAATCTAACGGGTCATACCATTTGAATTTTTTCATGGATAATACTTGAATGTCAACTTTACAGTCCTTGAGGTACCACATACAGGCACCTAAAGACCTTATCACTAACTCATATTCTGGTTTAGGCATACCTAAAATTAAAATCATTATAATCGTTAGTAGTGATTAAAAGTATTATCGATTTTTTCAGTTAGAAATAAGGCTTAATTCTTAGAAATTAGAAATTATCTAATTCTTTTTAAAATAAATCATAAAATGTATACATATCAATGTTTGTACAACTGATCATTGGGTGAATGTAATTAACACAATACAACTTACAATCATCAGCTACTGTCTTGAAAAATTCAGGCCAGGCAAAATTTCCTTCACTATCTCTGAAGTAACATGCTGAAGAAAGTTTTTCTAACGTATCATAAGCTGTATAAAACTGAGACTTCGTTACTAACGAATCTTGTTTGATATCCTTGAAATGGGTTTGTAACAATTCAGAAAGTTCTTTGCTCACTGTACCTTTTTCTGTCAGAATCTAAAACCAGTAAAAAATGTAAAAAAAATGTTTTGCAGTTAATCAGCGATGTTTTACGTGTCTAGAAAGGCATTCATATTCATATTTATTTCACAAAATAACATAAATATATAAGTTTATAGTTAAATATTATGTTCATATGGGATTAATCCATAATTGATTAGATTTATTTTCGTTCTGTTGTTTTTTTTTGTCCATTTGTCCAAGAGATTCGTGTAAGTACCCCTTTGTTTCATTTTTTTGTAGTAGTCCCAATCCAACCCCCTTGCCATTCAACTTATCCACGACCCAGTTCTCCAAATAAACCCTGAGAGCCGTTCGCATAAGTTTTGATCTGTTTTGCTTGCCCTATCTCTGCCCCAATAATTTCTGTCCCCAATTTTTAATCCCCCATAGTAATACCCTATCTCTCTTATTAATAAACACGGACTAACCTTGGACTAACATTAGTCCCAGGACTACACCAATAACATTCATTTTTCGTATTAATAAACAGCGACTAAGGACAGACCAAGCTAAACCTTGGCTAGTCTCGGACTAACATTTAATCCGATTTAAGTGGCAGGTTTAGAGAGTGACTAACTTGACAATTGAAATTAAGTTGAGTTTAGTTTTGGTATTCATAACCTGAATTGTTTTTGATTATTCATACATTATTTAATATTGGAAGAATATTTTATTAATGACTTAAGATTAATAGAACAACTTAATGACCATAGAAATCGGTGAAATAATATTCATCTATACCTTTTCATTAAGTAATGCAGGGCATATAAACAACGATAAATTTAACAGATAATTGTTAAAGATGTTCCAAATGAGTCTACCCGTTCCGATAAGTAACAGTATAATTATGACACTTTATTATTTTTTTTTCTTTTCTCAAATATTCATGTTTATTGCATAGTAAATAAATTAATGTTATCACTGAATACATAGTAAGTGAAAAAATAATCCGATTTATAAAATTAATGAATATTTTATGCATAAATGCAAGTAACAGTTCTTCAAAAATATTTAAAAACTAACCGAAATGTCCATCTTTATTTCGTCTGCCGAAGTTTTCAGCAGCTCATACCGGTTCGGACACGATTTAATGTTTACATCTTCCTGCATCGCTTAATGAATTTTACTTATATTAAAATATATAAAATTTGTTTAATAAAATATTTTACAATTCATTATGTTTATTAGTATTTTCTATATTTTCCCTTTGTAATAAAATACTTTTTAAAATTTCCTCTTGAACTTTTATAAAGTTTAAACTTTTCAGATAAAAAAAATATTATAAAATATAAACAAACTTTCTCAAAACACAGTCCAACTAAAATTAACTCTACGTGCTCCAACTTAGGCTAACTGTCAAATTCTCAAATATTTTTCTTCTTTTTCACAAAATTCTCTCCATTTTTCTTCTTTTTCGCAGTGGTTGCCAACATAAACTTGTTGTACCTAGGACTAAGGAAGGTTTAGTTAGTCTGAGCTTAGTCCATGTTTATTAATAACATTCTGAAAATGAAGTTAGTACTCGCTTAATCTGGGACTAATTAGTCCGAGACTAACTTCGGACTAAGCAATTTTTATTAATAAGACTGTAAATGTTAGGCAAAATATTCGTTACAATTTGGCGCCCAACGTGGGGCATGTTCTAGATTCTAAATACGCCTGCATCTGTAGTAGTCTTAAGAAAGTAAAATAGATCCTCTTTTCCCCAAGCCATTTCTTTTTTTCAATTTTCTTCTATTTATATGAAACCCCCTTTTTTTGAATAGTGCCCCAGTGTCTCACAAACAGTGATTATTGTATATGTATTGTACATCAACCTATGTATTCATGGGTATTAACATAATATGTATTGCTGTTTGTTTTATTTAACCTACTGTAGAAATGTTTTTATATATACTATGATATATGTATTAATGTTTTGGTAATGAAAGCAAATATTTTGAAATTTAATATTTATATATGAATTTTAAATTATGTTTGATATTGAGATAAATTTTAAAAGTTATTAACAGTTACATTTAATACAGTTATTGTTGCATTTATTTTTAATTAATTTGACAGGGTTTACAGAATAATCAGTTTTTGTAATTTTGTTTGTTCAGTCATTTTGAATAAATGTGTGTCTTGTTTAGGTGACGTTTGTTTGAGCTGTGTAGTTGCGTTTTCCCCTTTGTCCTTCTGTTCCGTACTAACCATCTTTGACGGTGTTTTTTATGCCACGGGTTAGTTGCAGATTGTGAAAGAGAAGTTGAGTCATTGGTGAGTCGTAGAGAAGATTCGACCAAATTTAGACGCAGTAGCAGACTTTTTTTGTGTTTCTTTTCTTGTATCTGAATGACCGCAAGTGTAATACTCGTAATCGGAGGTGCTGTTTAGTTTTGACTACGAGCAGTCTCACTTAGAAGTCGGAACAAGAATTGTTTATTTTGTGTTATTTTGTGTAGCTCACTCAAAAGTCAAGTTTTCAATATTATTAGTATTTTTGTCTCCCTCCGTATGTGTAGTTAATTGAGCTTGTTGTTTTGAAACATTTTTTTTAGTCACATTGTGTATTTGCTTTCATCCAAGTTTGTTAAATCGAGTCGATTCCAAGTTAACTGCTACAAATACTAAATAATATGTATTTGGTATTTTGAATGTGAACGATATTAGTCTGTTTATGTGATTCATCTAAAATAAACATCCCATATGTGAGAAATGAATATTTGTTTACATTTATAAAAACATTTATTTCGTATGTAAACGCTGACCTTCCCTGGTATTTATATATTTATTGAGTTTTTAAATCAGCTATCTATGTCCCAATAATTTCTGTCCCCAATTTTAAACCACCTATAGTAATACCCTATGTGGTAGGCAAAATATTTGTTACAACCAACATTCGTTGATAGTTCTGCTCCCACCTGGTGTATTCATTATTTTGTGTAATTTTCTATTCAACTGCTGTGATATGTGTTTACGTGTTTGGGGATTTTTAAGGGAATCGTGATATATCTAAAAAAAATACTACTTACCAATACAGGTGGAAATTCTGTGAAAAGTGCAAGAAGTCTAGAAAAATGTTTATCATCATCAAATTCGGACAGATGGAAAAATCCCATTGAGGTCTCAACAAGACAAACTCCAATCCTGGCAGTTCCATAAGCACCATCCTGAAAACACAATCGTTAATTAATATTAGCTATCAACTAGATAGCTAATAGTATCCTGTAAATTGCGGATTCAAATCCGGATAGCCACAAGATTTTTTCTATTAAATATTAAAAAATATATATATATATATACCACAGTAATTAAGATGTAATAAGCAACTTTTTGTAAAAACAATGAGGCCGAATTTACTTAGTATCAAATCATTTACTCAAAACACACACTGCAGAAAAACAAAAAACTTATTAACAAAAGATCTCAATGGACTGTAACACAAAGAAACTTCTACATAGTCTTACGACCCTATGATAAAATCTAAAAAAGGCCAGAACACATTAGATCATTGCAAGGCATACCCTTTGAAGTGTATTTACACACCAAAATTTTGCTACAGATGAAGTAGTTTGCAATAATATATTTTATCCTTTACTTGTATTTTATTATTTCTTGTTTATGTTATTACATTGAAGATACTTAAACTAAACCTTACTTTCGTGCATATAGCAATCATAAAACGAGGTTTTTCATTCTGCCAATCTTCCATCTGAGCAGTATATACACAAACAGCATCTGATGTAATTTGGCAAAGTTCTCTCTTGACGACTTTATCAAATTTAGTAGTTGATTTACCCCTGCATCTTTCAGCCATCATTTCCGGAGTTTCAGTTTGTTCAACTCTTGCTACTTTATAGCCTTGTTCCAGCAATATAGGCAACATTTTTCCATATGCACTCTCTGGAAATCCTGAATGTGCAAACTCTCCCTAAAACATATGGATTTATTAATATACAAGGACTTTCACAACGAAAGTATAAATATATAGTATATTGTACTAATGTACAGGATATGTTTTAAAAAATAGTAAGTTTAAATAATGAAATATAGAATTTGTATTCACTTCTAAAAGTTTGATTAAAAAATAAATTATCCATATCCATATAAAGCAATCGTGGTCAAAAGCCTCCTAATTGTCTCAATAAAACAGCTCCATCCACCAATCTAGACCAAGAATCTTTATGTCAACTACCACCAAAACACTAAGCCACGAACAGAGTACTAGTGAAGTGAAGTGAAGTGGCTCAAGAGACTATTGTTCACGGAAGCTCACAAATTTGTTTCTGCTTGTTTTTATCTCATGACCCTAGTAGATGTATTTGTTTACTGTGTCTATATGCATGTTTCCTAGTTTCAGTTATTCACTCTACTAAATTTGTCATTTTAGTTTTTCCATCCTTTATTTTTAAGACTACTTATTCAGTTACTTGTATTCTTACAGAATTTCCAAGCTACTTTTTGGTGCTTAGTTAATAAAATTGTCATCTGCAAATCACAGAAATGCAATTTCTGAGTCTATTCTCTAAAATATCTTAAAGCTCTTAGATTCATAACATTTTTACAGTATATGTTATGTTGGAAGCCGAAAAATATTAGAGCTAGGAGCTGGTTTTATTTTGAGTTTTTCAATTACTAACTTTATACATATTAGATGATCATTCTATTTGTTGGCATTATTCTAAATCATTTTCTACTCTAGCAGTGAGTATTCGAGCAAATAATTTATTTAGATGGTTTAAATGACTGATTAAGCTATAGTTTTCGAGGTAAATTTGATCTGGTTCTTGCTGCATAAGGATTGTTACAGCATTATGTCAATATAATATAGCCTGGTATTTTAGGCAGATATTTAAGAGATCTTGTATGGCACAAAGTAGAGCAGGTCCTCCTATTTTTATCCATCCTCACATGGGGCTTTATTTTCCATTTTTTTCAAAGCTTAATACACTTTGGTCATTTATATATTAGGAATGTTCTCCCAACCTTGTTTAGTATTAACAAACTTCTTTTGTTTGTTAATTTCTTTGGTGCCACTTATCAATTGCCTTCCCAATACCATAATACTATTGATTTGTTTAATGATCTGTCAAATTGTTTTATTGCAGTTTATTACTGGGGAATAGATAAGGTAAATAAAGTAGGAAATCATCTCAAATAGCTTCTCCTACTTAAATGTCAACCTCACTAGCACATGCATTGATCATCTACGAGTGGTAACAGTGACCAATAATGTTCCTGGCCGCTGAAGAAAAAATAAGACTAGCATACAAGAGATCTGTTATAACCGCAAAGGATGAAATTCAGATATAGAAAGATATTGTGCAATTTTGTTGAGTATACAGTAGTATTTCTTCAAAAGAATAGCAATATTGGAAAGCAAATTGCTGTAAGTATTAGCTGCAGTAAAAAATTAAAGATTTACAATTTGTTTACTTACTTTATGCTAATATAAAACTCAAAATATAAATTTAAAGTCTTTACAAATGTCCCAAATATAAAATATTTACTTGTTTAAACTATTACCTTCATATATGAAAATCCAAGTTCAATAACACCTACAACTGCATCCATGTGGTAAAGTTCATAAAATTTTCCTACTTTAAAAAACAAAACTGTATCCATGTGTCGACTCTTTAACTCCCACCACTGTTTCATAACAGGTGTTAAGGTAGCTAAATACTTCTCAGGGACATACAAAGTTCTAGAATCATACTCTGGATGATCTGGTTTTCTTTTATTAATGTCTCTAATATTTTCGGGCTTCAAAAAGTCTAGAGTGTTATGTAACCAACTGGTGTGCATATCAGTAGCTTCATTATTTGTTGATGACTCTTGACTTGAAGATTCACTTGACACTGGTTTGGTAAATACAGCTTTTACAGGCTTTTTAGGACTTACACTTTCCTCATCAGAATCTTCCTTATTCTTTTTATTTTTGACGCTGACTTTCTTTGATTTATTTGGAGATGAATTTTCTGATTCTGAGCTACTACTAGATCTGACATCTCTTTTAGAAGTTTTCTTTTTGTTCCCTTCATTATCGCTGTCTGAAGAGTCATCAAGTACTTGTCTATGACGTTTCTTGGTTGTAATTATTTCTTCCTCATCATCACTTTTAGCAATTTCTAAAAAATAAGACTCTTTATTTTTTATCTATTATCTTTCTATAAAAAAAAAATCAAAGTAAATCAGTTAGCACCAGCCTGAGTCCAAAAACAGTTCAAGCACACCAACGCTTTTATATCTGTTTGTGTAAAGTGTGGCACATGTTACTTTATGATTATCAGTCATTGTATTTAAGTGGTAAACATAAATTTAAGGAGAATGGATCTATCTGTTGGCCTTGTACATGTATTATCAGACTGATTACAAGACAATATTTAATTAATTCGTTGCACAGCATCCTAAAAAGCAAATAATGTGAAAGTATCAAAACACTTGTCCACAAAAAGAAACAAATGTACAAGATATTGCTGGCGACAAATACTGCAGACCAGAAAGAATACCTTAGAGCAAGAGGATAGGTAAAAAAAGCAACAGATAAAGTAAAAAATCATATGTGGGAAAAGAGATACTCTGAGATAAATAACTGTAAGGAATACACTCAAGCAAGTTAAGCATGGGAACTATGGGACAGGGACAAATTTTTAGCAGACAACAAACCACCAATTGTAATTGATGAATTCACAGAAGATGACAACATATTCCCTGCAGAAGTTTAAAAGGTTGCCCAACAAATGAAAAACGGAAAGGCACCTGGACCTGATAACATTCCAATAAAGCTAATAAGTATTTGAAATACTAGCAACTATATTTACACAATGTCTAAAAGGAGAGAATGTCCCAAATAAATGGAAGCACGCATTTATTTAATCGATATACAAAAAAGGCAGTAGCTTCAAGTATAGAAATTAAATGAGGTATCAGTGTTTTGTGCTTGATTAGATGTCTATATGGAAGAATTATTATTAAAGCTCAAATAGAAGATATTATGACAGAAAGTGAAGGGCCAAAGTGGTTTTAGAGCTGAGCTTTCATGCATTGATATTATATTTGTTTTAAGATAGTGCATTGAAAAATAATCTGAAAGGAACAAACCTCTATGCCCAACTTTCATAGTCCTCCAAAAGTGATATGATAGTGTACCACCATTGCAGATAGTGTGACCAGCATTGCAGAAACAGGGCAATAAATGCACAATTATAAAAGCTGTGTAAAATCTATATCTTGATGTAACAAGTTGTATAAAAATGGATACATAATTAACTTCATCTTTTTTGGTTTCAAAAGACCTTAGGAGACATGACATTTTATACTCTTCTATTTACTGATGATCAAGAATTTATCATTTACAAAAACAGTTGGCGTAATATGGTCTGTAAATTAATCTAGGGAAACCAGAGCATATGGTGATCAGTGATCCTGAAGAACTAAGGCTTGAGAATGGTGTGGTTAAGAATTGTGAGAATTTTAAATATCTAGGTGTCACATTAAAAAATAATGCAGGAACCTCACATTATTTTATAGTGGAATGTGATAGTGACAAATAAATAAAAACACAAACATATTCTTAATCATGCATGTTTCGTTAAGTTTGTGCTTTAAATACATGTAAAAAAGATTTAGTAACCATGACATTAGTGTGAGTTTATCAGCTGATATAGTTAAGTTGCTACTAAAGTTTTCTTCTTGTAGGGCATATCTGTTACAGATGAATACTAACATGATTTTTCTGACTTTATTAATTGCAACCCCAACTAGAGTTTTATATTATTTATATCATTAAATAAAGTATTGCTACATTCAGAGTATGAAATTGGAAAACCAAGATGAATGGAATGAGGAATTGGAAAACCAAGACCTACTATTGGGATATATGGGATCACTTTTGTTATAAAAAGCTCATATAAAAATTATATAAACCGCTTCCCTTCTAGTTTAATAGAAAAAATGTGTGTAACTGCATTTAAAGTAACAGAAAATATTTGTTTTATACTTATTTAAAACTTGTAGCTTCTCATAATACAAATTATAATTTCGTAAAAGTAACTTATATTTTAAACATTCATATACAATTTACAAAAAAAATACGGCAAGTTTTATACTTATTTAAAATCGTCCAAAATTTGTAATGTTTAATGCCATTCAAAAAACTACTCCCGCAGATAGAGAAACGTTTATTATTATAAGTTTCGGGGGATATAAAAGAAATGATTTGCAAGTTAGAAGCTTAGTAAAATATATGGTAATGCTAAGGGGACGGTAAATATAAGCTGATATTTGAAATATTTGTTATGTATGGCTTCCTACTCACTTTTATAATTTGATACATATTAGGTTAGTGTATTGTAAAAACAAATGGATACCTTTCTTTGTAACTTCTTTCTTGGGAACTTTTGGGCTCGAAAAATAATTAAACAATGTACTTTGTCGTTTTGCCATATTACTACAACAAAAGTATTTAATTTATAATATTTTAACAACAACTTTACCGCCAAATCGGTAGAAAAGCTATTGTTTTGAAATAACCTTTCTTTTTCTTTTTGGACGATGGTCTCTACTATTTAAATTATCAGCCAGCAGAATTAGTTTCTCATAGAATTCTAAAGGCCGTATGACACTATGCATTTTCTTGTATCATTTCTTATATCGTTTCTGATATAGAAAGTTATTTATGTTTTCTTGTATCGTTTCTTGCACGTACATTTTTGCCCTGTATGACACTATGCAAGTTCTTTTACCAGAAACTGTATGTGATTTGGCACATGGTTGGTCGAAATTTTGACACCTATAAAAATAGAACTGCAGCATGATACTATAAACTACAGATAAACCCACGCGCACGCGATCAGTCGTGTGACGTCACTTGGCGACAAATGTCACCAGAATTGTCTGTGTTGTATGGAGTTTTGTCAGATTTTGTCAAGGTTAGTAGATATTTAAGTATCTACTTAAATATCTACTAACCTTGAGATTTAGTTTTGTTTTATCGTTTATCTTGTACTTTGACATCGGTTTACTGAGTGAACCATCTTTCCGAAGGAGGTTTACTTAAACCATATCCAGATTTTCTAATTAAATGTAATGAACTGGACCATATTTTTAACAATTTTAACAAAGGGTCACTAACATTAACCAAGAATTATTTAAAATCGCTAATAAATTTAGCTGTGTTCAGATGTAATGTTAGTAAAGGTGTAAATTAGATTTTAAAATTAGAAAATTGAATAGATATATTAAAGAAACATCCAAAGTTAAGAAGAAGAAAATATTAAAAATTGTAAAATAAATTGTTAAATAAACTTGTAAATTATTACAGTGTATTTTATTTTATCAGTTGTATTAAATTTTTATTTTAATAAATCAATCCATTGTATATAAATTTCCATTTGCAAAAGGATGTTTAGTTCTTACTTTTTTATATAATTTTAGTTTACATTGCTAGGCTAACAGAGATGTATATATAACATATTTTTAAGATTTAATTGCAGATATTTTACCTAACATCCCTTAATATTCTAAATAAAAACCCCTTTCTTTCCATATATGTTTTACCGACTGTGATGATAAAAGGTTGGTGATAAAAGTGACTTTTATCACCAATTGACGTCATGCGCGTCGATGTACAAAATTCGATTGCGAAGTGGGTTTATCTTGGAAGTCTTAGTATCATGGAACTGCAGTACCTGAGGCACGGAACAAGGGCCTGAGGACCCCAAGCTACTGGGGACTGAGAACATATGCTACTGATTATTTTTAAAAATACTGTGGTGCAAAAATGAAAGAAATAAAATGTCCCAATATGAAAACTAAATTGGAAACCACAATTTTTGAAGATATTCAACAGGTTGTAATGGAAGACAGAAATAATAAATAATTTGGTTGTAATAATTTATTTGTTTTTTTTTAAATTATGTGTTTGAATGGTATGCTCTTGAAACTCTACTCTTTTATTTGGATATATAAAATAATCTTTAAACTCATCACGAATTTTTAGTGCGGTTATGTATTGTTTTTAGTAAAACATCTCCTCCTACTTTCAGTAGTTCCGATGCTATTTGATACAATCACTGTGATTGTGTGATTTATTGTTTTTCAATATGGCTACTGATGTTCTAATCTTGGTTATTGTTTGTGGGTACTTTACTCTGATGTCTGCTTGGCCTAATTGTATGTATACATCAGGAGATACTTACATATCTCTGGTATATATCCATGATACTATAAACTACAGATAAACCCACGCGCACGCGATCAGTCGTGTGACGTCACTTGGCGACAAATGTCACCAGAAATGTCCTGTGTTGTATGGAGTTTTGTCAGATTTAGTCAAGGTTAGTAGATATTTAAGTATCTACTTAAATATCTACTAACCTTGAGATTTAGTTTTGTTTTATCGTTTATCTTGTACGTTGACATCGGTTTACTGGGTAAACCCACGGTTCCTAGACTTACTCCGGTTGCCTCTTCCGACTGGGGTGGGGATGCTTGAGTTACGTCACAGGAATACACAAGAATACAGAACTCTTATTGGCGATTGAAACTGAATGTAGAGGGCAGGTCGATTGCAGTGTCATGGCCGATATAAATGGTATAAACAAAAACAAACATAACATTCGAATATTTACCGTTGCTTTTCCATGTTTAGTTTGGTTTAAGACGAGTTATTTGTATCATTTAATAATGGAAATTAACCTTAATGATATCTTTGAGTATTGTGGTGAAGCAAAGAGTCCATTGGTTGAAGGGGAAGCAGTTTTCAAGTGATGAATTCCTAAATTTTAACTTTAATGTTTGGAACTGGCTTGTGTATTGATGATGAATCCTATTTTGTGTATACCTGGGAACCCAGAATATAATATTCTGTGTAATGTTTGCCTTAACGTATATATGCATTATTATATCTTATGTTTTTAATATGTTAATTTTTATTTTATACTATTTTTTGACATATGTAAGTACTTTATTGTATATTAACATAAATAAATAACTTTAACTTGGCTTTATTGTAAAATAGTTCATTTGATTACATGAAATTAACCTTAACTTGAGATCACCTCTCAGAAAATATAGCACATGATTTGTCTTTAAAAAATTGCATAATAAATTATTTTTTTATATAATAATTGCATAATAAATTAGTTTTTCAGTTTATTCTAGATTGGATTTAAAATACTTTAACGTAGTCATAATGCTGAAATTTACTAAAAATAATTAATAATTATATTCAAATCAACAGCTGTCTGGTTTGTTTATACCACTTTTATGCCTGGTATTGCGGTATTATAAAACATTTTACTTGCTAAGTAAAATTTAGTTTGAAAGTAAAATAATTTACTCTGCAGATTTGCGTATTTTAAACACATAGTAAATTAATTCGGGAAGTAAATCTGCAAACTAAACTATTCCTTAGTTTTCTACCAAGTAAATATGACAGTTTCAATGTCTTTTCGGCTGGTGTGAAAATATTTAGATTTAATAATATTTTGAAATGTCTTCAGTATCATCAGTGTCAGATGTTAATTCTCCAACTGTATCTAGTGTTGATAGTGACTGGTATTTTTCAATAAATATACAGATGGATTGTGATGCAAATTTAAATGTAATCAATGTAGTTGCTAGATGGCCTGGTTACTACCACAATAGTCATGTATTTGATAATTCTCTGATAAGAGCTCAGTTTGAAAACAATGAGTTTTGTGAAACATATTTACTGGGTGATAGTGGTTATCTATGCCGAAAATATATTTTAACTCCCTTACATGATCCACAAACGCCAGCTGAAAGGAAATACAATTATACACATATCCACACACAGAATACAATTGAAAGAATGTTTGGTGTCTTAAAGAGAAGGTTTTCTTGTTTGTCTACGGGACCAATGGAATAGAAACACCACTAAATTGATAGAAATAAAATCTTCCGTCCTTCCATGATACTTCAGGCCTTCAAAGCGACAACATCAAATCCCAATAAGAAGTCTCAGATTAGGACACACCTCTACAACACATGAAGACTTGTTGAAGAGAGAAAAGTGTGTTATGTTTGTGAATATAAAGTGACAATGAAGCACATACAGTTGCAAGACTATATCACCTCATTCCAAAATGTAAAGAGTGTCTAGTCAGTGTAAATAGAGCTATTCCAATTATAGTGGCAATTTGTGTATTGCATAATATATGTAGAAGGAGGAATGATGTGCTGACTGATAGTGAAGATGGCAGTAATCACGCGGAGTCAGAAGATAAAAATTAAAACAAGGTCACTAGAAATCAAGATAATTTTGCTGTAAGAAATGCTGTCATTCGTACTGCATTTATTAATTAATTAAAATGTTTATTTTAAAATTATTTACGGTTCAATAAAACATAATATAAGAATTATGAGTGTTTTAATTATTGTATATGTATTTTTAATTTAACAAAAAAAGTGTTGACAATTCAAATAGTCACAGAAATAAAATTAACTTAATTGTGTCAACTTTTTCTTATTAAACTCTGGTAATAAATCTATGAAACAAACTAAATATAACACCAGTAACTTAATGAATATGATATTTATGATACTATAATGAACATGTATTTTTATTACAGAATTTTTCTACAATAAATACATACTTATAAGAAAGTGTTTATACCCACTTTTAACAGATAACTTTGTGAAAAATAGGCAAAATGTTACGGGATCTATTAGTATTTCATTTATCTATAATATTCTCAAGCGATACATTGTCATTTCAAGGAAGTCATGAAAATAAGATCATATCAGCAAGTAGATACATAATCCTTTCATTTTACGGTATTTGAAAAACAAAGTATGTACATATATTTCAGTTTCATTGTTCAGTTTTTTGTGTTTATTATTATTCTTGAGTAAAGTGTTTGATTTTAAGACGGCAAAATGGAATTTGTGTTGTAAAAATATTAGATGAAATAAGCATTCCTTAACTTTTCCAGAGGACACAGCAAGGTTTGTAAATTATTATTTCCTCTTAAATATTGTTTGGGTACCAGTATATGATGTCATTTATATGATACTTCTACAATAATAAGATAACCAATTTTTATTTTAATAACTAATTTACAATAATATAAAATTAACCAAACGGTATTAAATTTCTAAATTCTCGAACTCAACCCCATATTGATGTTTCAGTTGTAGAATCTTTTCTTTAACTGCCAACTCTTTTGTGTCTGTTTCTCTTTTCTCTGTTTCTGTTTTTCTAATTTTAAAACGTCTCTACTTAACTCTTCCTTTTCTTTTCTAATTTTAAGAATACTTAATTTTATTTTTTCCTTCTCTGAATCTTCTTCACACTTATTATTCTTTTTGTGATGTGGGACTTAAAGGCAAACTAAATGCACGACCAAATACTTACCATGTCGAGATAGCATTATGGGGTTTTTTCCTGGTTTTTCCCTCATAATTTACTATGGAATCACTAACAGGAGAATTTTACTGTCATCATGGCATGTGTTTGTCTTTTTAAAGATGAATTACATGCTATGATTTT